GGACCGAGCCCGAGTAGGATGTTTAATGTACCTCGGTTGGCGTTATGGTCCATTTGACCAGGTGGTCTTAGGTTAGCCGAGACATCATCTAGGACAGTTGACGTCAACCCGAGTCTTATCGTCGTTATTACCATCGTTAGATAATGAAAGGGTATATATATATATATATATATATATATATAGAGCAGAGAATTAATATGCAGGAAAAATCAAATCCATGAATCAAATCTATCCAAACGGACGGCTGTGATGATGGAATTGGGTGGTTTAGTTAAAAGTAAAATAAGAGAAGATCCACGCGATGATTATTCCAGAGAAGGCCTATTTATTTCGGAGCAGAGCAAGAGAGTGACGGCGGCCGCTCCTGACCGGAGAATTCTTCTTCTTCTTCGGTAAGTCCCCGAATCCCTTCTTCCTCTTTCTTGGTTCTCCTCCCCGTTTCGCTTGTTTCGATTTGACTGCAAGTTAGGGTTCATTCTCTCTGCAATTTTACATCGAGAAGAATGATCCTAGATTGGGTTCAAGAGAATCATATGCGTCGAGAATAACGATTACAGGTAGCAATGTTCCTAAATATTGATGTAAATCCCAAAATAAGGACTTTTTCCCTTTATTTTACATACATGCATAGAGTTTCTGGGAAAGCAGTGGCCTTGATTAACCCTACTTAAAGCCGAACGGCCGAAGAGAAGACATACTGCGGTTCTTGAACTTGCTCTGTTTTTTTGGTCCCATTCATGGTTGGTTAAGGTCTGGTGAAGTGGGGCCACACAGGGGTTGACGAACAAGCTCTGATCTTTTTCTGAGTCTGCCCTTGTTTCAAAAACCATGGATTAGTCGCAAAAAGATGTTGCCTGATAGAAATGGAGTTCCTCATAGAAAGAAATGCGGTATGGCAGAAAATAACTCGGCTTAAACAGGTAGACATGTTATAAAGTAGTTCAATTACTTTTGTGACAAATCTTTATTTGCGAAACAACTTCAAATCATCAATTAATTTCCATATCGTGTTTGTCATGCCATGAGAACCGACAACAAGCAGCAAAGGCTTTACGACACATTGATTTGACATTTCTGTTTATCTTCACAAGCTAATCTTTGAGCTTTTTCTTGTAAGGAGTGGATGATTAAGTTGATTATTTCCTTCTTTATGATAAACTTCTTGCTATACGTTTTGAAGGACCGTCTCCTTCTTAAACTTATAAAAGTATGCACATGCACATGATTAGTGGAATATCCTTCAAGCCTTCTACTATTGTGGTAGTCCTTTCTAACCCATGCTTTGACCTTGTTATCAACAACAAAACAACAACAAGCCATATCAACTCTTAGGGGTTGCTTGCCCAGACCTTTTCTCCCCAATGTGCCTTATCTAGTTCATTTTATTGCTAGTCAAATCGTCATTGCCATTTTTATTTTCTAATGTTCTGTGAGTTTGTCATCAAATTTGATAAAAATAAACATGCGATTGATGATAGATATTATCTTGGCCCCTGATCTAATTTTAATAATACCATCATCTGTAATCGTGAGGCTTTATATTATATTTTGTGGCTCATCTGTATTTGTAACAAGAAAAACCTATGTAGATCTGCCTTGTTCTGTCCTGCTTCTTGGAAGAGGTGTAATATGAAGCATTAGTGAGGAGCTTGGTGGTTGTTCTAGTGAAGCTATTACAAGTTAAGACATTATTGCTTTGTATACATACATACATATTTATATTTATATTTATAATTGTACAGAGATACTGCATTAATTCTTGTTGAGCTACATCCTTATATCTTTGTTTTCAATGCACTAGGATTTCTTATGATTCTCATAATTTGTTTTGAGCTACCTCGGCTCTATGTACAACCAAAATGGATTTTTTCAAACATGTTCTAACCTAAAAGAGATTTATATCATTCTTCTTTTCTGTTTTCTTTATTATCAGGTATATTGACAGGAACCTCCTTTTATATTCATTTAGATATGGCTTCCAGCACGGTGGAAGAGACTGTTCCTAGTGAAAATGTACTTGAATGGGTTGAAAAAGACAAGCGCCGATTTCTACATGCTGTTTATCGTGTTGGAGATTTAGACCGGACCATAAAGTGTGTCTCAATAAGATTACTGTGCAAATACTCTACACAATTTATGTTTTGCTCTGTTATTTCCTTTTCACCAGTTGAGCTGTTTTTGTTTTCCTTAGATTTTATACTGAATGCTTTGGGATGAAACTGCTGCGTAAGAGAGACATTCCTGAAGAGAAATATTCAAATGCATTTCTTGGCTTTGGTCCAGAAGCTTCTCATTTTGTGGTAGAGCTGACGTATAGTATGTCTCTTGTTTCCGGTTGCAATTCCTATCTCTTATTATCAACTATACTCCCTACTATTTCCAATCCTAGATAGAATTAGTGAAAAGCACATCAATTTCCATATAAGTGGCACCGTGCTTTGCAATTTACGAGTAGAAATTATTATTATTATTATTTTTTTTAAAGAGTAGCTATTATAACCTACAAAGTTATCAGCGTTTTTGCATCTTCACTGGCCATCTGCACGTGTATATGTGTATGAAGTTTTTGTTTTAGACAATCAATAAATGGTAGCTTATAACGTATCTTTCATGTCTTTTGAGCAGATTATGGGGTGGATAAGTATGACATTGGCACAGGCTTTGGGCATTTTGCTATTGCATCGGAAGATGTGAGTTGCACATTTGAATTGAATGCTAACTAGTATAGTTATTTGATAACTGACCTTTAAATCAAATACTGGAATTGTAGGTTTATAAATTGGTTGAGGGCATCAGGGCCAAGGGTGGTAAGATTACACGTGAACCAGGTCCTGTTAAAGGAGGAACAACAGTTATTGCTTTTGTTCAAGACCCTGATGGTTATATGTTTGAGCTTATTCAAAGGGGCCCGACGCCTGAGCCTCTTTGCCAAATTATGCTTCGTGTGGGCGACTTAGAAAGATCCATCAAGTTTTATGAGAAGGTATTTTTAGTACCGTAAGGTCTATTAGTTGTTTCAACTCTGAGAACATACTATTTGAACTTTTTGTAATTTGTTGTTCCCTTAGTTGTGTTTAAAGTTAGTTGTTAACAGTGGTAGGATGTCAGCGGTAGTGAAGGGCAATCTTCTTTCTAAATAGCATGGCTGAAATCTTTGCATGTTAGTGGTTGAGTGGTTATGAGTACCTTTATTTGTCATTGTCAACTTATAGAAGGTTCAGTTATAACAATAACAAGCTCATACCTCCGAGGTAGTTTATGCATAGCCTGCATTATGCATCTAGTTATGATATTGGTTTCTTCGCTGCTTTGTGGAATGTTCCTCTATTGGTTAATGAAATCTGACACATTTCATTATTCTTAGCCATTTGTTAAGAAAGTGAATATCTAGATGACTGGAAATGCTTAATTACTAGTGTTAGTTTGATGAACAGTTTAATATCGTTCTAGATGAACAGTTTACTAGCGTCATTTCTTTTTCATTCATCTTCTTTTCATATCACGTCACATTATATGTATAATATTCCCTTGTTCATATACAAATAATTATGGAACTCAAGTACATACTAAACCCGAGGGAACCAGCCCCACCCTATGACAATATCCTTGGTGGGCTTAAACGCCATCCCATGTGTCGGGTCACAGGTTTATCATCCAAGAGTACATTTCTCACAGGATGATACACGTCATCGTTGTTCATATAATATTCGTAAAACTCAATCCACTTTAGCTAAAATGTTCTTTCTAATACTCTTACTATGACTACTACCAGGAAAAACATACTATCCCATAGCCTCCACCTCCGTGGACTTAAACTCCATCCCTTCGCTGGTCCGAAGGTTACCACCCTTGGAATCCGCAAATGGGATATAAGCCTATAGTTAGAGAACTCTCAAGAACTGAACTTGAAATTAAAATTAAAATTATATAATAAATATATAATGCTCAATCACATATGTCTCATATCGACACTGCACTATTAAACATCTTTAATGAAAACCAAAGGATGATTCATAATTTTTAATGGATGGAAATCAATAAAATAATAGGTCATTTAACTATTTCATAATACAAGCATCATAAACAATCATCACATCGCGTCAAATGAAACAATTTATATTTTAAATGCAAGATTCATCACAGTCAAACAACTCATTAAATACATGCACAGAAAAATTTTAATAGCATGACAACATTAAGTCTACATACACTAAGTCATAACTTAGGTTATTCATACATCATATGAAATAAATACTTAACTAGATGCATGAAATATGAGCATTCATTATTTACTCAATAAGACTAATATTTCAAGTATAGCATTTAGTCATGCAACAAATATATTCTTAAACTTAGTTCTTAACAAGATTGAAGGGAGGTTATATGTCACTCAAACCCATGTTTCTGTTTCAATTAGTCGAAACAACCATGTGCAATGTGGACATGCCTTAGTTGGAATGTAGGTCAATAGTGTATCACTCAATCATGGTATGCTTCAAAGGGAGGACATAATCCTTTTAAGACCTTTTTTTTTTTTTACTTATTCTTCTCATGAGTCAGATATATGTGCAGTGTGAATCATGAGTCTAGCTAGCAAGGCCACTCGCGTGTACAGTGTAGGCCACGCAATGTGGGTCATGTGTTAGGCTATGCATCATAGATCATGTAGTGGGTTGGTACCTTCGACAAATCACACCCTACCATCAATCAACGTCCTGCAATCAGTGACATGCGACCACCAGTTGTCTTGTGTCAAACCTATCCAGGTTAGTGCACTTATAATGATATGACATCAACAATAAGTTACTCGTCTACATATGGATGGTGACGTCAAATGGATAAGTGCTTGGGTTGATGGGCCAAGTTGGCCACCTATTATATATGTAGTGAGAATTGCAGGCTTATACTAAGTTTTGCAATCGTTGACTTGCATGTTGTTGTGCGAAGATGGGTAGTGTCACTCTTATGTATTTGTGTTTAGTCAAATGAGACCTATGCAAGTGGGATGTATGCTCGGGCGTAATGACAATACTATGTCTTGCTCATGCGCCTAAACCTGCAAGCAGGCCTAAGCTTGTGTTGGCGTGCATTTGGACTTGAGCCTTTGCATAAATGTTGAGTCATGTGAGACCTGACTATAGCTGTATCACTTAAGTACTAGCCACAGCTGCTCTAAGGCACAACTGCTCTAATGTATTCTAGCTGACCAACTTGCGGTGGCATGAACTCAATTGATTTTGAGGTTCACATGTTGTCAATGCTGCTACTGTGGCTTATAGCAACATAGTGGCTCTAGTTATAAGGAAGGCTAGGAGATTACCTAGGTATTCATAACTCTTGAACATGCTCAATACTTAGTCAGACAATATGACCTTATATATGGTAATTTCACTCCAGCAAGGTATCATCATTGGATCTTGAAAGTGGTGTACTAATGCATGATATAATAATTGGATCATATGGAAAAGTGGGAGCCAAGCTTTGTAGGATTCTTTTACCCAAATCACATAGCTACTATTCCCACAGGTATCATAGGCTGTAGCAGGTTGCATTCTAGCAGCAGCCATGCGGTCAAACAATCCACATAAGCGGGTCATGCTTATAGGAGGCCGAGTATTTTGGGTTGTGTAATCTACATATAACTCATGGAAGTGATATAAGTTGGAGAATGAAAGAAAGAGCATCATCAGTAGCATGATTTCCACAAGGTGCAAGGCTACATGTCCAGCGAAGGGCCATGTGAGAATCATGAGGCCCCAAGTGTTGGGTGTTTGTGTGCTAGGCCAGCTGCTGCTCACATAAGGTGTTGTTGCATAACCGGTGCTTGCAACGAGTGTGCAAGCACAATAAATATGGTTGCTGAAACAATTGGCAGGCTGATGAGGCTTAGACCGGATGTGTCTTTATTGGAGTTAATATTTGGATTTGGTTCATGTCTGCAATCTGTCTACTGTCTTGCAGCAAGTCAGCCCATTTAGAACTGGTCCTCCTTATTTTCCTTCTACCGAGGGTGAGCGAACAAATAAAGCAACTAACAATTCTTGAGAATATTACAGTATACATGTTGTAGGATGGTATAATCCATATGTTATATATACAAGATCTAATTCATCCTATACCAAGAATCTATTCATGAGATTAGCTAATCATAATCTTTTTATGCTTGTCTTAAGGAGTCTTTGACTTGGAAATCAAAGAAGATTGTAACATGCCTTTTTTTTTCCCCACAAGAGGAGATGATGATGGCTATAAATAGAAGAGGAGAGGGGGGGTTAAACCCTAACCCTAGGTTTACTAATAGAATAAAATTATTAATTTGCCCTTAATTAAAATTAGGGTATTACACAGGCTCCTTGATTTTGTCTTTCATATACCTACATTGCTGTAACAATGTCAGTTGACTTGTAATATGTTCTCATGCGCTTTTGGCACCTCAATTTTTCAGCTTCACTTTACCCCTTTGAATCAGTCATGGGTAAATATCAATAATTTGAGTATCTCGTATAAAACCTTTTGCTACTTTCTTGGGTTTGAGAGATACATTGAGCTTTCTTTTGTTCCAAATTTGGTCAAGTATTATTCTTTTTAACTATATAAGCAGAGACACTGGATTAGTGTTGTGAGTGGAGAGCCAGATTTTACTCTTTTATCATGCTTACCTATCCATCCAATTTGCTCCAGAATTTTTCTGATTTTTATCATCAGTCTGATAGTCGTACTGAAAAAATCTCCAGATTTATTAAGGGGCTATATTATAAACCATTTTTTTGAGTGTGATTATCTGAGATGAGCTATAAAAGTGTTTCTAGTTTGCTTACTGTCTTTGTATAAGCATATATTTGAGACTCTCCTCTTTGTTTTCTTTGTTACTTGTCTAATTTACTACACTTATTATTTCATGCAGGCTTGTGGGATGAAGTTATTGAGGACACGAGATAATCCTGACTACAAGGTTATGTTCTGATTTAATAATAAATCGAATCATGTCAAACTAGTCATAACCTTTTCAAGAATGTTGCAAGCGTCCATTTACCTGCACATGCATAAACTTACATGCATTTATATAATTTTATTTACACATGTATGCAATTTATTATCATTGCTCAATACATACATGGATCCCTGTTGTACATATCGAGTTTTTTGTTGGTTTGTTATTTTCATAAAAACTTGTCCTTTTATGATATGCTGGTTTATGATTATGAACATTACATATTGGTTTTCATGTATGGCTAGTTATGATGGTCTATATACTTGTATTCAGCTATTTTTGTGCTATTCATGATACTTATATTGTCATGCTTAATAAGTTCTTTTCGGATCACATGATCTATACAGTATACTATTGCCATGATGGGTTATGCTGAAGAAAAGGAATCAACAGTGCTAGAGTTGACATACAATTATGGTGTGACAGAATATACCAAAGGCAATGCATATGCTCAGGTTGGATTATATCTTTGTTTAATATGATTTTGTACTAGTCATTAGGATATTAATGTTTGTTACGTCATTTTTAGGTTGCTATTAGCACTGAAGATGTTTATAGAAGTGCTGCTGTTGTGGATTTGGTTGCCAAGGAGCTAGGAGGAAAAATTACAAGGCAACCAGGACCAATTCCAGGAATCAACACTAAAATTACCTCCTTCCTTGATCCAGATGGCTGGAAAGTGGTAAGTCCTCTCATCTCAGTGCTTAATGTAACCTCATAATTTAATCTTTTAGACAGACAAAAGTACCTTTATGCTTACATTGGAAAAAGTACCTTTATGCACACAAGCTTCTGCATAACAGTTGCAGATCTTATATAGTTATATGTTCAAAATATGTGAGAGCCTTCAGTCATCCCTTAGCCTAGTCTCTCATGTAGTTCTTAATAGCTATTTTATCAAATCTGTTTCTTCGTGTCTGGGACTTATCCGTGAGTTGTTTATCCAAGAAATACCACCTTCATTGAAACAGCTTTGAGGATTTATAATAAAGGCCTCTGATTGAAAACAGGGATTCTAGGTGTGCTGATAATTTTGGCAATAGACCTTATTTAGTTGTCAGTATTAAAAGATATATCTTGCTTAGCAGGCACCAATACCTTTTGTTGACCAAAAAGCAATACCTTTTGTTGTAACTTGTCAATCAGCTGAAGTTTACTATGTTGCCCCCCCCTTTTTTTATTTTTCTGTAGAGAACAGTACAATTTTCTCTATATTATTGGCTTCCATGATGATAAAAGTTAAATTGTTGATATTTGATTATATATTACATCGGTATTTCTCATTGGATTCTCACAAATGTGTTTGTGCATCGAACCCATTTTACATCTGCAATCTGAAGACATCGGCAGAAGAAGCTGATGCTATAGAATCTGTTGCTTTTCAGGTTCTAGTTGACCACTCTGACTTTCTCAAGGAGCTTGAGTAATGATCATGAGACTGTTCCTAGAATGAACAGTAGTACTTAATACCTGGCCAGAACTATGGTGTAATGTGATTTCTGAGCTTTACTTATCTAGCTTTATTTAGACATTTTCCTGCTGTTTCACAGTGATAGCATATATGCTTTGGAATTGTTAGCAATTACGCGAGTGCCTGAGCATTGTTCTTAATTTAATGGGCTCTTATGTTCTTATATTAATGATTATATTAGCCTTTTTTGCATCAGTTTCTTAATATTTTCTCAGTTTGTCACATCCTTGATGCACATGTCTGATTACGTTGATATCTTGCAACAATGGACCCTCCCATGTTATTAAATTTATGTCGTTTGCTTGAAAATTGATTCTTTTGCTTACCTTCAAGGTTATTTCTCACCCATCCTATATTCATCTAATTCAACTAATTACTATCTTCATGCATTATTTGCTCAAAATATTTATCGGTATTCTTATGAAATCTCTACTAGATTGATGCCCATCGTAATATTGTTTTGTTCTGCGAGTCAGCTGGTCACGGGCTTGTACTTCTGCTGTTGGGCCGACACAAGCCGTCCGTGGAAACATGCGCCCCATTTACCCTATTCAAACCCGAATCCGATTCGGATGCCTATCTCTTTGCGGATAGGGTGGGCGAGGATACCCGAATGAATGCGACGGCATCCGCTGAAAGAACGGATCGTCAAATCCGCCTCTTGATTCGATATTTCTAACTAATCACAGCCGTCCACCTTCCTACTTTACCAACTAGCTCCCTCGTTTGCTCTCTATATAAAGCCCGTTGCCGCTTAGGGTTGCGTCTATCAACCGGCAAACTATGAATCTGAAGTCGGCTTCAATCGTCTCCGCCGAAGGGCTTCGGTTGCAGCGTAAGAGAAACCAGTCGAAATCTTTTCGTATTCTCTTTCTCTATATGTCTCTCCTCTGCTTCGTGCTAAGAGGGAACGCGTCTCCTTCGGTAGCGTACTCCTCGATCAGAAGGCAGAGGCAAAAAGACGAGTCGAGATATCGTTTCAGTCGCCACTCCACCCGTTGGCGGTTCGATTGTTGCTCGACCACACTCTCCTCTTCCCTTCTTCATCTCTCGCTATCTCTCTCTCGATCTGACTCTTATTGATTTCCTATAGGAAGTGCAAGGGATGTTTGTATCTATTTTGCATTATTCCTCACTTTGAACCGACCAAAACCGTGGGGACGCTCTATTTTCTGATGCACTTCCTAATCTTCCTTATGTTTATTTTTGTATGTTCTCCGTCTGAGTCGGTCAAATCTGTTGTTCTGCATCGTCAGATATCAAACTTTTGCCGATTTCTTGTCTTAATTAACCGATCAATGATTTCCTATAGTATAATAGAAAAATATGGTCAATCGGCCCTAACAATTTGTTCTTGGTTGGTCATGATTTGACATTATAACCCTTATTTGTTGCCTCGATTGATTTTTGTCCCTGCTGCATTTATTTGACTGTTTTGATCATCGATTAATAACTTTAAATACAAACAAAAAGTGTCTTAAAATGTTAATTTTAAATATTTATAGTATGAATGATTTTTGTTGCAGTATATTCTACGCGACAACTAGCAAGGTACGATTATTTAAGTTAAGTTGAAATTGCTGAAAATGAAGAACTGCATCAAAGGGGATCTTTCATATTCTTGGGATCTATTAACCACGACAGAACATCCTTTGATAACTCTGTTCATCTCTGCTGTTGAAGCTGTTCGTGATGATTCTCTACTCAAGCAAAATATATAGGAATTTAAAATATAAAGTTGATGCATAGTTAATATCTTTCGAGAGCTTGAAGAGGCTTAAAATTGCTATATTAATAGATAAAAGTTCTATAAATTAAAATAAACTATTATTTTCTAAAAAATAGTAATTCAAATATAAAAAATATAATGAGAAGATACTATGATCGAATAAGAGAAATCCAAAATCAATTAATGGTATGATTTGGATACACAAATGATAAAAATCTGATTTATTGAAAAAGATCAAATCTGATAAATATATAGGAGAGATGGCGATCTGATTTAATGTGTACAAAAGAAATGCATAAGAAAAGATCTGATTTAAAATGTACAAAAGAAGACTAAATGCTAAAAGAGTTTTTTTATCTTTATGGAGGTCATTTAGAGTGTTAGTTTTGGATTGTAACTTTGTTAACTTAATTTGAAATTTATTAGGCTTGATCTAAGGTTGAATTGGCTATGTTAGAAGGTCAATTCAGTGATATGAGGTTGGCGCAAGTGGTGGTACATAGCGATTCTCAGGTTTTGTTTGGTGGTAATACCATCTAGCAATAATAGTATAATTCAGTATCTAAAATTTGAAGATTTAAATTTTTAATGTTAATTTTTGAAGTCATTTTGGGTCTATATATATACTTAATGTATATTTGCTTGGTGCAAGAATGAAAATTTGATTTGAAATGTATAAACTTGTTGAGTCTTCTTCTTTTTTAATTTAGAGGTTAAGATAAGATATGAAGGTGTATGGTGTTTTATAAAAAAAACGTATGAATGTTTTTTTTTTTTTTTTTTCCTGTGAAAAGGAGGAGAGTGGTTGATCTTTGTTTGTTAAAAAACAGAGTTAAAACCGATGGTTTTGAGGGAAAACTAATCGAGAGTGGACGTTGGGACGAGTTTTATCAATAAAAATTTTTAAATTAAAATTTTATTTCAAAAATACTAATTTACCCTCCTTTTCCCTTTTAGTGTCTTTATCATCGTAATAATTGGTATCAGAATATAGTTCTCTTGCTTAGGATGGACTATACTTATTAAAAAACATGAATGAATATTTTCTTAGATTTTGATCTATGAAACAAAATGGAGTTTGATTTTTAAAAATCTTTTAAATCAATAAATGAATGAAATGATCTATGAAATAATATTTTCTTTTAAAGTTATGAATATTTTATTTTATATTTTAAACAAAAATAAGTTTAATCATATTTATACTAATATTTGACAAAATTTATAAAAGGATTCACACTATGTTCTCCTTAAAGTTAAATATAATTTTTATAAAAAAATATGATCATTATGCTTATATATATATATATTTTAAAAATATAATTCTCATAAATTTTTTAAAGGAATCGATTTGATATTAAAAGTTAAAAAATAGATCTAAATATAGATCCAAAGTTAAAAGTACTTAAAATAATATTTTTGAAGATATGCCTTCATATATATATATATATATATATATATATATATATATATATATATATA